GCCATTCTGACTGGAGTGAGATAGTATCTTAGTTAGTTTTGATTTGCTTTCTGTAATTACTAGAGAACATTTTTTATATATTTGTTGATTGATTGAATATCCTCTTCTGAGAAGTGTCTGTTCATGTCCTTGGCTCATTTATTGATTAGGAGCCTAATCCCTGAGTCTTTCTCTGGCTTCCCATATCAAGATGTAATCCTTTGCTCCCAAATGTACTGCCACCATTGCCATCTATTGTGATGTAATACACTGAGAGGACACTCACCAGATCTGAGCCAATGCAGGCACCATACACTTGACACTCCAGAACCTCTTCTCTTCACATACAGCCTGCCTCAGATATTTCATTATAGTGATAAGAAGCTGACTAATATAGTGTTCCTACATTTTTCTGAAGTGGCTTTACCCTCCCTCCTAATGCAGCTTATTTGATAATTTATAAAGCCTCTGCTTTCCAGAAACTTCCTTTGTTCCCTTATCTCTTCTAGCCAAAACTACCTATTGACACCCACTCTTACAAAATTCAGAGCTCCATTTCCCAGAAACCAGACACTTTCTACTTTTCTTTGGGGCACATCTTCCCAAAAAGTGGGAATCCACTGCCATGAAGTCACCAGCAGTTGTAAGTGAATGTAGGCAGCTATTCACCTGGAGGAAGATAGCAAGGGAGACATTAGAGGGTATCACCCAAAACAGATCTGACTGACTTAACACTTGCCACCAAGGTATAGAAATGTCAACCTTCTAGATACAAAGTCATGCCACCTGGGAAGTTGTTACCCTTCCAGTATTTTTTTCTGAAAGAAGTGTCCTGCTAAATGAGCTCTCAAGAAATATTCAATCAACTCTTAGTTAGGCCAAATGAATAGCATCCCACCTATCATTCCTTCTCCAAGATGGAAGTGGTGCCAGAGTTATAAAGGACCCATGGTTAGGCACCCAGCCTGCACACACAGGTGGGGAGCATGTCAGCCAGCCAAACTTGGGACAAACGACAGAGTGTCTGAGGCCCTCACTTCACTCATTCAACCTTCTACCTGACCCATGGGCTCTCCTTCCTCTCTGAACAGCAGCAGCCAGAAGAAGCATATTTACCTTCCAAGAGTCTGCTCTGGGCCACAGGGGATAAAAAACTAGGCTAGCCAGACATTTATGCCATAAAAAGGCTTGGCAGGAAAGAAACCAGACACAGGCAGTGAGGAATTTAAATTCAAACTAAACATAGGTCTTGGTCCCTCTTTGAATATAAGCCCCTGCAGACTTGGTTTCTTCAAGGAAAAAAAAATCCCTTTTAAATCTGGTCTCTTTTCCCTATGAAAGAGATAATATTCAAACTACCTTCTATCTGTGAGGTAACAGTCATTTTAAATGGTTCTTTCAAATCAGCCCCCTCCTTCTTAGTCTTCCCTCTAGAGTATAAGTGCTTCCTAGTGTGTTTAGGTATCTGAGCGAGGGAGGGCATCAAAAGCTATACTTTTTGGAAAACCCTTCTTAAGGCAATGGTAGTAAGGAGGGATAAGAACACTTGAGCTGTTATTTTCCATTTTCCCTCGTCTCCCCAAGCTCCATTCTCTGCCTTTTCCTACCAAGCTCTGTGCTAAAAGAGACTGACCTCAATGGACTGTAGCAAAATGCTTTTTGCCAGCTAGCATCTGCCTGGGTGTGCTAATGGTGGACACATGCAGAAGATCAGAAAAAAAGGAAAAGAGTGAAATTTGAGTATTTATTCCTCTCTCTCCTTCACTACTGTGTGGCATTTGGGTAGAGACTATATTTTGCTACCCAAAGCCATAACGTGTATCAGGCAGCCCTTCTCACACAGCTACAGCTCTTGATGGCTTCAGTAATACCGTTTCTTCCTTTTTCTCCTGCCATCATAGAGAAGATGATGGTTCCCCACTCTTTATAGTAATTTTTAGTTTTATTTTTTTATTCTTTTTAGATATACATAACAGTAGAGTGTATTTTGACATATTATACATACATGGAGTATAACTTACTCTAATCAGGATCCCATTCTTGTGGTTGTACATTATGTGGAGTTACACTGGTCATGTATACATATATGAACATAGGAAAGCTACATCCAATTCATTCTACTATCTTTCCTATTCCCATTCCCCTTCCCTTTCCTTCAGTCCCCTTTGTCCAATTCAATGAACTTCTATTCTTCCCCTCCCCTCTTATTCTGTGTCAGCATCTGCATACTAAAGAGAACATTCAATCTTTGACTTTTGGGGACTGGCTTAGTTCATTTAGCATGATAGTCTCCAGATACATCGATTTACCACAAATGTCATAAAATCAATCTTTTTATGGCTGAGTAATATTCCAATGCACATTTATACCACATTTTTTTATCCACTATTTGTCACGTTTCTCACGACTAAAACACTTAGGGTCACTCCAAGTGAACTGGGCTGCATGAAATAATCACACAAGAGAAAGACATGCCTTTTACTTTGGGTCCTGTGACGGCTCCTCTGACCTTAAGGGTCCAGGGGAGAGAGAGAGAGAGAGAGAGAGAGAGAGAGAGAGAGAGAGAGAATGTGCTGGACCTTTTTTATTAGGGAGAAGCCATTCAAATGAGGCAAGGGGTCAGGTTTCAGGGAATTGAATCTAGCCTTCTGATGTCTGCTGTCAGCAGATTGACTGACAACTAGGAAGGCTGCACCCAAAGGCAGAGGAAGAGAAGGGTACACACAAAGGAAGCTTCCATGGAACATTCTATCCCAAACAGGGCAAAGGGATTACAAAAGAATAGGTGAGTGTAGCTCAACCCCACAGGTGACATGCCTACACCTGAAGGCATGCCTTCTACTTCCTGGGCTGGGACAACACCCAAATCACCACAAAATGTAGTGATTGGTCAGAGCCTCTTGCTTCAGGACTGGAAGGCGTGGGTCATTCAGAGTGGTTCAACTATTCATAGTCTTTCTAAGCCTAATCATTACTGGTAGGTTCCCTTTTCACCAAGCACACTACCATAAATGGCTCCTGCATTAAACTCATCTCAGCTAAACTCCTTGAATATACCATCTGTTTCTTGCCAGGAGTCTGATGTATGACTTTCCCTTAGAATTCCAGAAGCTTCCGTGGTCTGAGAAGAAAGATCGCCTAGCCAAATTACCTTATCTAAAGAAAGTGATCTGCCCTTTCCCAAACATTTCACATATTCACCACATACTCTGCTCTCATAAATCAAAGTTGCATTATTGTGTCTATGATATAAAAATTCATCTTGACTCATTTCCAATTTATTTCAGCAATTCTTCGTCATGTTTCTTAGAGAAAGGAGATGCTTGCTATATACCCAATCACGTTGTTTCCCTTCCAGTGAGGTATGTTCAACTTGCCTTACCTTACTTAGTTCACTTCTATGTGGGAGATAGTACTTGACATGAATTCAATAACCACTTTCCTCCTTTGCACTATTCCTCTTGTATTCCCCATCTTGGTATAAGGTACCATGTACCAGAGACGTTATCCCAAAATCTTCACTTGCCCTCATTTGTGTTTGTCCTTTAGATATTAAATCCTGTGGAATTAACTTCCTACAGGTAGGCTGAGTATCCCTTATCCAAAATGCTTGAGACCAAAAATGTTTCAGAATTCAAAGTTGTTTTTCCTTCAGATTTTGCAATATTTGCAGATATTACAGGTTGAACATCGTTTATCCAAAAATCCAAAATCTGAAGTGTTCTGAAACCTTCCAAGCATGGACATGACACTGATATAGCTTTAGATTTTGGATCATTTTGGATTTTATACTTTCATATTAGGGATGTTCAGCCCGTATTTTCTTTCAAATTCATCCATCTACTCCAGCCCCACAGTTAATACCTGAGTTCAGAATTTGATCCATTTACACCTAGATTATGAAAATATCTCCAGTCTCTCCCTATTCTCTTTAATTCTCATCACTGTAGCCAAACTGGTCTTTGGAAAAGCACAAACATGATCATATCACTTCTCTTTGAGTGGCCTTTTAGGATAAAATCTATACTCTTTGTCCTGGAGTAGAAGGTTCTACAGAATCTGGTTACCGAGTCCCTTTTAAGCTTCAGCTTCTGTCACCTCCCCTTTCATACCTGATCATCATCTTCGTAGTGTCCCCATGCCTTTGCTTACATTGCTCCTTGTCCAGTGCACTTTTTACCTTTGCTCACTAACTCCCCATATTTATCTCCCAGACTCATCCTAAGTATTGTCTTTTCTAGAAATCTTTCTCATGAATCCCCCAATGCTCAAGCTGGTTTTGTGGTCCCCCTATGATTCTTTACCCTCCCCTTCTCCACTTTTCTAGTTCACTACTGTATGTTTTAAGGTGAGAATCTGTGTCTTCATCTTTTTAGCCACTGTACTTTTGCATATAGTGAAATTCTCAAGAAATATTTCCTGACTCCATGAATAAGTGAATGAATGAACTGTGCCCGAGTACACTGTATTTGAATTTGCTAACTTACACAAGGTCAATATAAGAATGCTGACTCCTTGGGGGATGGAATATAACTCAGGAAGCCAGTTTTTCCATTTCTCTCCCTTGAGGTAGGGCTGTACCCAAATCAAGCTGGAATGATTAAGAATAGAAACAGATGAGCTGGCCTCTTGAGTCACAGGCCCTCCCCAGTCTTTAAAACTGTAGTTATGGAATGATAGAGCTGGCCTGAATTAACTGGGGTTGGGGGAGAGGGTGAGACTGATTTTGCCCCCAGGAGACACCAAGTTCTTCTACACCATCAGTCAGCCTTGAGCACAGATGGGATAGAGGCCAGGGCTAAAAATACATCAGCCCTAGGTGACATCAGGGCTGTGTTCTTTCATGTCTAACTCACCCCAGATGGAGGAGAGATCATTTGATGAGCAGTCATTGAAATAGGCGGAGAAACTTGTATCACGCTAGGAGTGATTACAGGGGCCAAATGCTACTGCGGATTTCCTAGTCAATTATAATGAACTCTGATAGAAATTTCAATAAGGATCCAGCAGAAACATCCTTGTCATCATTATTCTGAATTCATATTTATTGAATGCCCAACGAATGTTAGTCTCTTCTCAGAACATTTGATGAACATCATTTCTGTATCTATAAGGGATTGGGGAATACTTGCCACTATATTTTAATGCCAATCACTTAAATAGAACACAAAATGAATTCCTATGAATATTCTAATGCATATATGCAGGAGGGGTCCCAGACTATATGCAAACATCATTGATTAATGTTTTCACCACTGCAAGTTGCCTTCCCACCAAGCTTCCCCACAACTAGAAAGGAAAAAATACAGAAGGTATAGATGTGAGAAAGTCAAAACAATTTGGGCAGCATTGTTCCAGAGATGTTTAACAGTGGCAAAAATATCAAGGAAAGGGACATATAAATGGAGTGATATGAACTGTCCATCTCCTGATCCCTCACTGTACAACTATTCTTACTCAGCCTTTAAGCTTTAAGGTAAGTGGAAGACAGGAGTTACAGAATTCTGAAGGACTGTTTGATTGTGCAATTATCTTTCAGGTGGAGAGCTTCTCCTTATTTTGCTTAAAGGAAAACTTTGGGGCTTGGGGGTCTGTAAAATACCTTGGTTGGATTAATATTTGAGAAAATCATTACTTTAGATGAGTTTTTTTAAATAGCTACAGGCCAACTGGCTTATGGAAAAAAAGAAAATGAATGTCAGGTGGGTTAAAAAAAAACAGGCAAACACTAGCGTATGCTACTGGCAGATGGGTGCCAACTGGCTCAGTCTTAGTACTTCTTTTCAGAGTTCCCTTCCCTTCCCTTTGCCACCCTCTCCAACCAGTCTTCTTTCAAAGCTCAAGGTTTTAGGCAATGGTCAAGCTCCATAGCATAAGAATTGGTGTTCCTCATGATGCTTTCCACCAACATGACTGGCTTGGGGTTTCTTCCAGCAAAGCAAGAGAGCCAGGTGCAAATCAACATGGCTGCAGCTGCTCCACCTCCAGCACAGTAATAGGCCCAGCCAAGGCGACAGGTACCTGTGGAAACAGAGACAGAGACATAAGGCTTGGGTTGTCTTCTTCTCATGCATTCTCCTTGGTAACAAACTATAGAAATGATCCTTGAAAGTATAGTCTTCATAGATTCTCTTTAGAATATAGTTAGGGTGAGAACAGGAAATAGTGAATGCAACTGGGTTTCCCATTTCCTCTTTTCCTTCTTTGCTGACTACAGGTTTCTTCTTTAGCAAGAGACTGCAAGATTTTATTTTCCTGTTAGAGGGTTAAACTGGGGGTGGTTTGGTGATGATAGTGTGGCAATGCTGCTAATGACAATGATTATGCTAAGCTGTTTACACATATATCTCCTTGACCATCACAGTGAATGTATGATATAGGAACTCTTATTATTTGTGCTTTACAAAAGATGAGGCAAGCAAGGCACATATTTAGCTAACTGTAAAAATATCTCAACTAGAAAGTGGCAGTCAGGATATGAGCTATGGTGCATGATGACTCCATGTTTTCATACCTTTGTGAGGAGTACTGGGGATTGAGCTCTGGGGTACTCTACCACATCTCCAGTCCTTTTAATTTTTCATTTTTAGATGGTCCTGCTAGGTTGCCATGAGCTTGCAATTCTCCTGCCAAAGTCTCTTGAGTAGCTGTGATTACAACCATGTGCTGCCACACCCAGCAAAAACTTCACACTCTTAACCTCAGTGATATACCTTTGCACATGGGCTGCTTTCAAAGAGCCATATGCTGAGTAATCAAGAGTTTTGACAGACAAAATCAAATCCCTTGTTTCTTTCTACATGTCTGTCACCTAATTTAGCCTTTCAACACTTGGGAGGGGAGGTATACATTGGAACCAAAGCCAAGCTTCTAAGAGAGAGTTTTGATTTGAAGAGTAATGGGAAAGGGCATCTGCTCACATAAGTCCACCTCACCAGCTGCCATCTTATCAGAGGTAGATTCCTTTTTTTGAAGGATTTGTGTTTTTTTTCAGCAATCATAAAAAAAATGTTGAAGCTCAGAGAATATTGAAGCTATTATTTTGTGAAGTATCAGAGTAACTAACTGCTAAAATAAAGTGCATAAGCAAACAGTACTCCAGAAATTTGGTAAGTGCCCAATTATAGAATTTCAGAGAGGTCCTAAGAAGTAGGCAGCAACCTTCTCACAGTCTCGCAGAAAGCTACATCTGACTACACTCAGTTGAGGATGGCAAGACTGAGATTTATGACAATTTATTTTTAAAGGTTAAGTTCAACCAAATAAGCAATTATTTCTGTTCTCATTGTACCCAGTGAACCTTAATTTTTCTCATTTTAATTGACTAGTTGATTTGTCATAGAAAGACTCTGAGATGGCCCCAAGTGAGGCTGTTTTGCTTTTTCATTCATGTAGATCTAATTTATCACAAATCTCCCACCTCAGAAATAGTCTTTGTACCACACCAAGTCACCACTCATACTGTCTCTTCTGCCAGAAACACCTTCTCTCCTTATTCACTAATCCATATCTTTTATAGAACACTGTTTAGTAATTGGCATTTTCTGGAAGCCTTCCCTGATTTATTTCAGTGTGCTCAAGTCACCTCAACCAAGGAGCTATCTAGGAATCTGTCCATATACCTCATACATAGCTGTGAAGCAAAACATTAGGAGGAATATTCAGATTTCACATATTTTCATCTGTCATTTCCCCCATTCCAGATTGTTTCTTTTCTTGATAATGCTTCATGTGCTTTCCCCCAGTGGGTATAATTTAATATGTGCAATCTAGCCTAAAAGTACTTTGAAGCTGGATATTCTTGCATATTAGACTTTAAATATCCAAAACTCTGGTTTAAATTTTGAATTAAAGTTGTGAAACCAGTTAAGTAGCATTCTATTTGTTTCTAGAATGTGCCATGTACCTTTCCACCATAAGGCCTATTCACATTATCTTTCATCTGTAAAATGCTTACTGAATGTCCACATGTATACCTATACTTCCCATCACTGTCTTTACTTAGTCATTCTTTTTAAAAAAATATTTTTAGTTGTAGATGGACATAATACCTTTATTTTGTTTATTTGTTTGTATGTGGTGCTGAGGGTCGAACCCAGTGCTTCACACATGCTAGGAAAGTGCTCTACCACTGAACTACAAACCCCAGCCCCTAGTCAATTATTCTTAAGAGCTCAGAACAATCATTAATTTCTCTGTGAAACCTTTTCTGACTTCCCTAAGTGAAATTCCTTCATCAGAGGCTCTTATAGGATCATTATCCTCATTTCTGTACTACAACATGTCCATTAACCTCTCCTATGAAAGTGTAAAGGGTTAGTCTTTCTGAGGAGATAGTACTTTACCAATAGACCTGGATAGTCATACAACTTCCCTAAATTCCTGTGGCCCCACTCAAAATCATGGTGAAAATTCAATAACTATGAAAATATACCAGAGAAAGGACAGATTTAAAAGAGCAGCCTCCTTTGAGAAAGGAATCTAACTATCTCCAAAGTGGCCTCAATATGAACATGGTAGACTCTGGGAAGAGTAGACTGAAGAATACCATATTGAAGTCATCAGCCAATAGATCTGCATCCTCCTTCTTATGCATCTCTCCCTAAACACACACACACACACACACACACACACACACACACACACACACTCAAAGTCCATGTTTTTGTAAAATGGCTATGGGATTCACAGAGTGAAAACTCTGGAGATTTACAAACCCTTAATTTCTGTCATCATTGGGAGGAAGACTGTAGACTGTATTGTATTCCCTTTACAGACTGGAATGAGGCTTAAGAATAGCTCTAGGAAATTTCTCAGAAGCAGAAGAGGTAAAAGCAGGGATCCAGATTACTCCCAATCCAGTGGTTTGCCCCCTACTGGTTTTCTCATCCTCCCAACAAACATTTTTCTCCTACTGGACCTTTGATCTGTATGCTCTACAGAGGAAGCTCCTAAATCAATTTATATAGACTTTTTTGGGCTTCCCTATAGCCCCTCCCACCCAAACCCATTCTTATATTACAGAGTAGGCAGGCGCTACCTCTGCGATAAGCTCATTGTCAAGCAACTTCCTCCTCCTCAACACATTCCCAATGTAGTCTAGACAAGGCACTGGGAATAACATTTTGTTTCTCACTTGCCTTTAAGGTCATCCCCTCATTAGAGTAGCAGGGACATTTCTAGTAGGTACATGCATCATGGGTCCAGGGAAAGACTTATTTTTCTAAATGAAAGGAATGAGTGCCGTAGTATGCCATTATCCCAAAGCTCTAGGCAGGAAGAAAATGACAGAATAGACAATTCTTAAGTAAAAAGCTGGATAAAAAAGGCCTCAGTAAACTAAATCATCTACCACTACACTATGAGCCAACACCAAAGTGATCCCATTGCTACCCCAAGTGCATACTGAATTTTCTCTCACAGACACATCTGTTAGGCCTCTCAATAGCATCTAAGCCCCAGCATGCTTCCATTCTGGAAGCTAACAAGAAATAGAAGAAATATATTTTTTGTCCCACTCTCTCCTCATAATACTACCTGTTATCTACTTAAGGGAACAGAGAAGTGACATCATTGGCTTTGCAAAAAGGGGAGGAAAAGTAAAATCAGATGTTTAAAGAACTATCTTTCCACTTGTCAGTATTTAGCTACTCCACAGAAAGCTTGGACACTCATCTCATGGCCCACAGAAGAATCTATCTATGGAAAGATGAAAATACAGGAGCAGTGGCAAAGAACTGCTCTTCTTTGTCTCTAATGGTGCTTTAGGAAATGCCAGCAAAGTATTGTTGATCTTTATATTCTTCTGAGAAATAGTTATTGAGGGACTGCTATGTGCCAAGAATTTTGAACACACAATCTCATTTGATTCTCACGAGTGTCATAATTATTTCCATATATGGTGGTGGGATGTGAGTTTCAGAAAGGAAACTTGTAAGTGTCAAAAAGGAAACTTATTACTTAAAAGTATCAGAGTTTAGTTTTGAAGGCCAGGCTTCATTTGAAGCTTTGACTTTTGTCAAAGCTCAAATCTCAATGCTATCCATTTCAATAATGTCAGAACAAAGTCAAGGACACAAATTATGATAGTCTACGTTTTATGGGAAAGTACAATGTCTTCAACCAATAACATCACATTTCTGGGTCTGTTTCCTTTTCTTTAAATAGGAAAAATTTTACTGAAGAAATTCTAAAAGCCCATTCCAATTCAATTTTTCCATTGTACTATAAATATAAGTGCTTTAAGATACACATGAGAAAAGATTATAAGAATATTGAGAAAAAGAGAACTTATTTGTAGATAGGAGAATTCAGGCTCAGATAAGGCTTTATAGAGGAGACAACATTTAAACTTAGCTTTAAAAGTGGGAAGTGGGCATCTCAGATAGAGGGAGTGGTTAGTGTGAGGGAAGTTATATGAGTAAGAAAGCAGATGACAGGTTTCAGAAGCAGCATATCATTCAGAATTGTTTTAGTAAAGAAGCAATGGTTGGCAAATAATAAACCACATCTACATCAGAGAGGTTCATAAATTTGCCATCTTTCTCACAAGCAACAGGAAACAATAGAATGTTCCTGACCAAGAGATGATTTGATAGAGCAAGTTTTCTCCACCTTGACACTATTGACATTTCAGACACTGAGCCACATCTCCAGCCGTTTTTAAGTATTTTATTTAAACATAGAGTCTCACTGAGTTGCTTGGGGTCTAGCTAAGCTGTTGAGTCTGGCTTTGAACTCATGATCCTCCTGTCTCAGCCTCCTGAGCTGCTGGGATTTATAGGTGTGAGCCATCACACCTGGCTCAGACTGGAGAATTCTTTGTTGGGACGGGGAGGGGGACTTATGGGAAGGAGTTACCCTGTGCAGTGTGGTACCCTGGATTCTACCTGCTGGATGCCCACAGAAAATTATCTCTTCCCCTTCTGGAAAATGATAAAGTGGTTGGGGGTGTAGTACAATAATAGAGTGCTTACCTAAACATGCATGAGGCCCTGGCCCTGGGTTCCATCCCCCACACC